GAGCAGCGCTATACCTCAGTACGCATCTCCATCAGAATGAAATCAGTTACTTGTATTTTAATAAAAAATTACGTAGTTTTTGTCGGCGAGATGTAAGCAAACCAAGAATAGTTTGATAGCAATGAAAAGGGTGTTGGTAAATTTGGCATCACTTTGTTGAGTAACGTATATTCATGCATTATTTGTCACCTAACAATCATCTGAATAGCAATTCATTGAAAATTTTTCTGAATGACGAAGCTCACCAAATTGTCATACGTCATACAGACGTGATTTCCAGACGTCATTGATACGTCACTGCAACGTCATAAAAGTGACGGATTCAAAATATAGGTACACCTATATCATCATTTGTATATTTATTGTTCTCCAAGATATACAGGGCGTCAAAGTTCAAAAAATTGTTCCTAATTCTTTTTGGGTATATATAATTTCAATAAAACTTGCTTGTTGATTTTTTTCAATGGGTTATACTTTCATCGATGTTAGGAGAATATATATATGAAATTACCAAGACGTACATATTTCTATATACAGTGTGTCCACCTTAAGGACTTACCACCCCTATATTATCTGACCGATTTCAAAAAACTTTGGATAGGTATTTGAAATGTCCATCCAACAAGAGAGTGATTTCACTCATGAACTGTAATCGTGGCCAACTGCGACCAACTTTATTGACCCATATTTGAGAAAGTACTATTAGGGATTTTTTCTCACAAAAAACAATGATGGATTCTGAATCACGATCACTTGAAAAACACCTTTACTGATTTTCATCATGATAAAACACAGGGTGTCCGAAAAGACGAATTATGTTGTTTATTTTAATAGGTGATCAGAAAATGTAGTATTGTGGTATTTTTGAGAAGAATTGATGACACATTATCATTGAGGATCACTTTGAACATATCTGTACCGATTCTCATCATCCAAAAATACGATGTGTATGAGAAAACAATTAAAAAGAAAAAGTAGGCAATATTTTTTCATCAACTCAAAAAAAATATTAATTTGATTTTTCGAACACCCTGTGTTTAATGATGATGAAATCGGTACTGGTATGTTCCAAGTGATCCTGATTCATCTTTTTATTTTGAGTGAAGAATTATCAGGATGAAAAATATTGCTTACCTATCCTTTTTAATTTTTTTCTCAGACACATTGTATATTCAATTGACGAAAATTGGTACAGATATATTTGAAATAATCCTCAATGATAATTTATGATCATTTCTTTCTAGAAAAACCACAGAACTACATTTGCTGATCACCTATTTTAAGAAAATGATGATTCGTTTTTTCGGACACCCTGTGTTTTATGATGATGATGAAAATCTGTACAGGTATATTTCAAGTGGTACTGATGCAGAATCCATCATCAAGTTCCGTGGAAAAAAATCCCTAATAGTACTTTCTGGAATATTGGTCATTGAAATTTGTCGCAGTTGGCCACGATAACATTCCAAGAATTAGATCACTCTCTCGTTCGATGGGCATTTCAAATACCTATCCAACAAAAAAGGTTTTCTGAAATTGGTCGGATAATAACGATTTTACAGGGGTGGTAAGGCCTTAAGGTGGACACCCTGTATGTGTGTAAAATTAATGAAGAAACGATTTTTTCGGAAAAATTTCCGACACTGAAAACGACCATCCTGTATATATTAGTACGTCACAGACCTAACGGTTTCACATGATAATGCAAGTATACATGGTTTAGATAAGGTCTGGGAAACATGGACGTCGACAGGACGTCCCTTCAATGTCATGAAACTGACGTCGTATTTTACCCTTCTATGTGATGTTCACTCGACGTCGAGATGATTACCACGTTATAGAACGTACGTCATAGTGACGTCATAAATTGGTGTGTGACGTCTCTGACGGAAAATCACTAATCAGGGACGTCACAGTGACGTGATCATTCGTCATCTGGTTGCCTGGGGTGTAGCCAGTCCCTTCGAACATCAGAAGCAGGACCGACAGCGCGCGGCCTATGTTTTTTTGCTGAAGCTGCTCCAATTGACTTTGCATAGACTATACCCAGATAGCACACACTCGCCTAAGGTCATCCTCAATGTGTCGCCAAACGCCTGGAGAGGACGTTCTATTTTCTACAACCTAAGAACATCATCAGGCGTAAATTTAGCGCTGTAATTGTCCTAAATGAGTTCTTTTAGTGACAGCCTGAGGATGTGAAGAATTTCGTGCCTACGGACGTCTTCAGATGACATTCCATGAAATAACGTGTCATCGAAGACAAAAGGAAGAAAAAGAAGAACTAGAATTGAGGTTATGTCTCATGATAGTCATGATTTGTTCAAGATACATCATAATATATTAATGATTATATCAAACTTATTAGAGTATTCATTGAATACCTTCATCAAATTTCTATTTCACAAAATGATTGCGAGAAGAACTTATTGCACAGAATTAAAAGATAACAATAACAAAAGGATGATAATCTCTGTTGATGACATTTCTCTCAGGTAGCAAGAAACAATGGTGAGTAAATACTAAATAGAATCATTGATAGTACCTGACATGAAATATTGATACATTCATATACATTATTTATTGTTTCAGGAGGTTATTGAGAACACAAACTTGATGATATCATCATAGCAAACATGTTTTATTCCAAGATAGCTTTGCTTCTTGGGAATCTATAAAATATTGTATGGAAGCTTGAACTTTCAGTATGAATTCAATAAAGGTAGGTACCTGAATCAAATCATTGATATAGTAGGTACTGGACATGAAATGTTAATAGGTTAATTATTTGTTTCAGATGAAATTATTGAGAACACAAGATTGATGATGTCATCAGAGCAGAGATGTTTCATTCCAAGATATTTTGGCTTCTTCGAAATCTATGTGAGATTGCGTATGCATGTTTGCACTTTCAGTATATTCAATAAAGGTAGGTACCTACCTAAATCAAATCATTGATATAGTAGGGACTGGAACATGAAATATTAATAGGTACATTATTTGTTTCAGGAGGTTATTGATAACACAAAATGATGATATCATCAGAGTAGAGATATTTTATTCCAAGATATTTTGGCTTCTTTGGAAATTATGAAAGATTGTACATATGCAGACTTGAACTTTCAGAAGATTCAAAAATGGTTGGTACCTATAACTACATAAATCATATCATTGATAGTAAGTACTGGACATGAAAAGTTAATACATTGTTTGTTTCAGAAGGTTATGCAAAACACAAACCTGATGATATTTTCATTCCAAGATAGTTTTGCTTCTTCAGAATCTATAAAATATTGCATGAAGGCTTCAACTTCCAGTTGATTATTCTGCATCAGAAATGTCCAGAGTTCAGAAATGGAAAACAACATGGAGAAATATAACTATCAATAGGCAATAACTTCTAGTAGTGCTCAACAAGAAGCTGAAATACATTTCTTTGAAAAGGAAATTGAAATTTTTCAGAATAAGTTATAAATAATAGAATGTAAGTTTTTCATTTGGTTTTTCATTTTAACCTATTATAAATAGAGGGAAATTTTGCAAATATCATGAGATCCATATTATTCTGAAGAAATTATCATTTGCATAATACAAGGTGAGTCAATAGTGTGTTATCCTTGTATATTAGCCAAACCATCAGATAAATAGAGAAAATTCAAGTACAACAGTAATAGGGTTTCATGAGAACTTTCACATTGAATTGTTCTCATATATATCTGTAGGGTGTTCGAATTCCAAGATATATTGACTGATGATTGTTTTTTTCCAAATGGGACACCCTGTATACTATTGCATTTTTAGGTTCTCCCTGAAGAGCTGATTCCATCAATGTATCACACTTGGGGTCTAGCGGGAATGATTACAGAGATATAATGTGTTCAAAAACAAGATTTTTCAATTTTAGGATTTTTTTGTGGAAAATATTCAATATTGGTCAAAACGGCTCACATATCCTTATAAACTTTCGATTTACTATCTACTGACATTCAATCGGAACAAATAGAGGGTGGGTTAACATTCAGAATACTGATCAGCTTATTGTATCTGTTCCAAATAAATATCAGTAAATAGCTAATCAAAAGTATTGACAGGAACATGTGAGCCGTTTTGACCATTAATGAATAGTTTCGACACAAAAAATCCTACATTTGAAGAATATCTCAATTGTCAACACCCTATATCTCTGTAATAATTCCCACTAGACACCAAGTGTGATGCATTGATAGAATCAACTCTTCAGGGAAAACTCAAAAATGCAATAATATACAAGGTGTTCCATTGAAAAAAACCAATCATCAACCGATATCTTGGAATTCGAACACCCTATAGATATGAAAACAACTTTAGGTGATTGTTTTTATGAAACCCTATTACTGTTGTACTTGAATTTTCATTTTATATATCTGACGGTTTGGCTAATATCGGAGGAGAACACACTATAGTGACTCATTCTGTATAGGAATAATATTCTCCCATAAATCTTGAACCTCCTTGAAACATCATCAAAAACCGCCTCAAGTTGATACCACGATGTCCTGAGGTTGTCTCAAAAGATTTTATAGGGATGTTCTGAGACGTTATTAGTATGTAGAGAATGGTAACAGGAGGACGTCTTGAGAATGTCCTCAGGCTCGCTCTCGACGTCCTGAGGACATGATTGTGAACGCCTCAGAAGGGCCTCAAAAGGAATTTGTGCTATCTGGGTAAGAAGTTTGCACTATTATTGATTATTCCAAGAATTATAGATCATGATAAATTAGTATTACTTAGATTTAGTCCAATTATGAATGAAAAGTTCTATAGAATCGGAAAAAATATAGGGGGTGCAATTTCAAAAAACAATATAATGACAGTGGGTTGTTTGACAAAAAGTTGATATGGTTTCACTATTGTGGAGAGTTTTTGATCCCATTTTTTTTTCTGTCAGGAAACCCGAATATCTACTGTACAAAAAAGTTGGTAATGAGCATAATAGCTATTCTATTGATCATTTTTCTCACCTGGCCACAGCCAATCCCCTACTGGCAATTTTGCTCGTATCTCAAGTTCTCCATATTTGAAAGCGAATGAATCTACAGTTCGGATACATGCACTTTTTATGGGATTCAAAATTATTTCTTCTGTTCCTGTACGGATACATCCATCCCACTTCGAATTTGTACATCTGAAACAATAGCTTCATTGAATTCTTCAGTTAATTATACAGAGCAAAAGTGAGATCTCTTCCTCAACAGGATGAAGAATAAAATATTCAATCAAATTTCGCCAATGCATCAAGATCTTTCTTAGGGAAAGGGATATTTTAGTCTGTAGACTGGCTTACGAAATATGTCCTCAGAAAATATTGTGAGCCGAGAGCATAATCTGAAAGTTACTGTCATCATCCCACTGTCAAATTGGAAGCGGTAGGTATTTGCTGTGCTCACTATAGATATTCGTTCATCACTGGATGATATCGATGTCATCTGAATCTCTCCGACATCGATAGTTCAACTTGTCCTAATCCCCCTTTCGATCCAGGACTTTTTTTATTTCTCAGTATTCCAAGTCAACATCAGATAGAAGTTAGCGGGTTGGTTCTGAATATATTGTAATGATTTCCCCTCGAAGGGGCTCTAGAACATCATCAGGAAGGCAGGAGTACAACGGTCACCCTGTGGCACGCGTCCCGGATTATTCTCGAACATCTCAATGATTCTAACATGTACCAGTGTATCTCCGAACACCCAATATGTGTGACGGCCACACATAACCTGACAAAAGAATCTGTTATCATCTCGAAACAATCGATGGAACAATTAGAGAGAGAACGAGAGTTAGAGAGATATTGTTCCAGAAGCTTCTAGAACAAACGAAGGACACGGAAGATTATTCGGGAACGTTAGACAAGCGAAGCCTGCCAATGGATCTGATATAAAATAAATAGATAATCTTTGGTGAAAGTCCAAATGACAACAGCACTTGACGTTGTCAACCTTTTTCATATTTTCTTCCTGGATATTGTATCTTCTCAGTGCGCCAGTTATTGTTTGACACTAACATTCCCTTGCTTAAATATTTGTCCACTGTTGGTTACTGTACTCCAACAAAACTTTCCAGTTGAATGATACAATTTTCTCTCAGGTTTCTGGTCTAGCACTGGTCTAGCAATGGGCAGTAATTTGTCCCATCTTCTGGCGAAAAAATTTCCACATAACTTGGAAAATCAGATAACCAACCTCACTCTGCATCATGAAATTTGTTCCTGGTACCGTTATGTTGATGATTGTTTGGTTTTGTTTGACGGCACATTGCAAGAAGTCAATCTCCTTTTGAATTCTCTCAATCCATTGTACCCAGCTATGAACTTCACTATCGAAGTTGCAGTTAACGGCTCTCTGCCTTTTTCGAATCTACTTATCAATATGAACAATAATACCTTCGATTTTTCCATTTACCGGAAACCCACACACACTGATTCTGTAATTCCGTTTATGTCTTGCTACTCTATCAGCAGCTGCTAATTCTTTGTATCACAGATTGTTCAATATCCCTATGAGTCCAGAAAATGTTGACAATCAACTGAATATCATTAAGCATATTGGACACAACATTGGTTTGCCACCCCATATTATCAAAAAATTTTGAATGAACACCAAAATAAATCCTTCAATAGGAGCCAATACAAAATTCGAGAACACATTCTTCATCAATTCCGTTCCTTGGCAGAAGTCTCATAAAACATTTTTCATCGATATAGTGAGAATGTTAATATCTCTTCTTACGCAATTGATGATATTTCAAAAATTTCCAATACTGAGGATGAAGTTGCTTTGAATCACAAATCAGAAGTTTATTGTATTTCTCGCTCAGATCCAAATTGCAATGCTCAATATGTTGGAAAAGGTGGTAGAAAAATTTGAACCAGAGTTAAAGAACATGTAAGGTTCATTGAAAAATCCATGAATACACCCCCTTTGTTCAATGAATATAATACAAGAAGTTCTTTCGCAAACCATATCGTAAATTCTCGCCATAGTTTTAATTCTAATCAGCACCTCAAAATTCTACATGTCAGTCCAAAAAGTAGGTTACTGAATGAACTGGAAATTTTCGAAATTAACTCTTCCTCGAATTATAATTCTGTCTTGTCTCTTGATGAACAAGCACATTGTGACTGTTCAATTTTTCAATGCTTTGGATTTCAATCGCTGTTGGTTTACCTACCTAGGTGTCAACTCTTATTCGGTAGTAATTTCAAAGATAATAGTTTTCAGGTTTGCTCAACTCTCCCCTACATGCATTCTTCCTCCACCTCCACCTCCACCTTCACATTCTTCAAGTAGTTGTATCAGCTATTGTTAACATGCCTGTGCTCATTGTCAGAATTTTATGTTTTGTCCCTTGACATTGACTTTGTCTTATGTCAACGTTTTGTCTACGTCATTATTTGACATTATTATCAGTGTTTTCATACCCCCTTATCAGTTCAGATTTAAACACTTGCTGGCTGTTTGTCGTGTCAATTTTATTGATATTTTTTTTAGTAGCACTCATAGGGGCACGAGGAAGCCGGGGGAAGCTCTTTTGTGAACACCCGTTAATTTATGGTGCTGTCAAAAAATTTTGGTATACGAAATTCCGATAATATGAATTTTATGCGCTCTCAGCGCACGGGAACCTTCATACATTGAAAATGCGTTTATTCGCTATAAACTTGATTTTTCGACTATGGGCATTGGCAAAAATTTTACAGCTAGCAGCATCACATTTTTTCAACTCCGAGTGAGTCAAAAACAAGTAATGTGATTTTTTCACATCAATCTTTTCGTATTGACGAACTCTCAATTAGGCTGAAGATGGTCTGAAACATGTCTCTTCTGATTGTGTAACAACACTATTGAAATTTGTGTTGATGACTTCGAGCATTTCTTCTTCCCTTCAAAATAGTGTCGTGTTTGCTTCTGCACCCGAAAAACGTAACAATTGGTGTCAGAAGTGTGGGATCTTTCAGTGTGAAGTGAACAGACTATAGCAATGAAGAAACTGAACGAGTTGAAAGTGTTGAACTTGAAACGTGAGTTGGAGGAGAGGAATCTCGACACGAAAGGGATTCAGCATCATCTAAAAGAGTAAATATTGTAGGCGTCGGCCAAGAACCTGTTACGTTCATCTTCGCAGAAGAGGATCACGGACCACATTGCGGCTCACCGACAAAATATCGCTGCTCAGGAAGAACATATTGCTGCTCAAATCGCCACTCAGAAAAAAGAAATGGAGACAGCAATGAAGAATCTGCAGCATAAGATAGATGCACTCAGGTTGCAATTTCCAAAAAGAAAGCTATACTGGTAGAGTCGAAAATTGATCAAGAAATCGTGATGAATGTGGACCCTGTGATCACTACCAATCGAGTAAAGCCATCTATGATTGATAAAAAAACATCGAACTATCTGAAGCAGTTCGGAGGAGTTTTCAAAGCCAATGGATGGTCATCGTAGGACAAGGGGGTGGCACTCACAGTAGCTCTACGAGATGATGCACTGAACATTCTAGAATTCATTCCGGAGGATGAAGCCGATACCTACGACTATCCGATCAGACGCCACAACATGCGGTAACGTCAAAAACATCTACAGGAAGTGTTCCGATCGCAGATGAAGAACCGTCGACAGGTAGACAACGAGAGCCTACAGAAATTTTGAATGGAAGTCGCTCGGTTGATTCATTGTGCCTACCCATCAGCTCCTGACTATTTGATAGACTGTCTTGCAGTTCAAACTTTCGTGGATGGATTGCGAGATATGGAAATGCGAAAAGCGGTTCGGTTGACTCGACTTAAAGACTCCCCCAGTATTCTGGCAGCTGCGCTAGAGATCGAGGCCGCGACAGAAGTTACACGAGAAGCAACAAAATTCCGAGCCATCAAGGATAGCAAGAACATAGCAGACAATCTCAGGCAGGATCCTACGGAAGACCATGTAACATGTAAATTTCCTCTTTTACCTTGATTATATGGGTTTGTTATTAAGTTAACCAAAAGTAACACTCAGTATATTATGATGATGCGAGATGCTCAATAAATAACGTGACTGCAACTTTACATTTTGCTTTGGCATGTGCATTGAATATCCGGTTGGTGTTGAACCTCTTGTAAGCTGAACTTGAAGATTCTTCTGTCATCCCGGTGTAACTTGATATAAGTTTCAGGATTGTACCTTCTAGATGTCCATATCAGTGGTGTTGATCTGTCCTTCATCATAGCTGTGATGATGAACGATTTACATTTCTAGTTGCTGTTGACTGATTGAGTGGATAATAGTTCAAGTACACAATTTCACAGTCCTGTTGGAGATTGATATATCCTTGCTGTTTTCAATTTGATTATGGATTCACAGGAATTTATTTTTGAGGTAGTTGTAATTGTTCACATCCATATTTCAGTTCCAGTCTGGGAGTCAATTGGTTATGCGGAGTATTAGGTTATTTCGCTTCGGCCATAGCACTGCGAATTCATTTCCTTCTTCTTGTGTTTTCGGCCTACTAGCAACATCGATCGTGATTAGACCGATAGTACTATGGTTGTGTGTTGGACCTAACTTCACACTTCCTTCCAAGAGTGGCAAAAGCCCAATGGCTCAATAGGACAATTTCCTTAGATAATCTAGGTATTTCAATAATTTCTGTTGGTAGCTTTCATTAGCTGTACAAGATTCCAACTGTACTTGCGCAGTGAATTATTTCTAATTTGAAGCAGTTTTTTATGAACGGTTTTATTTTCTGTGCACAGGAAGCTCTTGAAAATCCTTAATTTTCTTCTCCTCTACCGAAAGTAGGCAAGATGGGCAGCTCGTTTGCCATTTTCCTGCCAACTTTTCTGGGGTTTGATACCCATATTTTCGGCAATTCCAGACGAAAGGTGAGCATTTTTAGGGTCTACAAACCTATTCAAGATATTCTAACTGTTATAATTCGCACATATTTATTGGCCTGTCCATGGCGGATGTCCTGTTGGGACGCCATCGTAGAGTGAAAAATCAAATCTCATTTTTTGGAGCACCTCTATCCCATATTGAGCATCCACGAAGCCAAGGGGTGACTACAAAGCCTCAACATCACGTGTGCTGTGAATCCACCGCTCATTTTGATGTCGAAGGATGACTAGGCAGCTCCAGGAGATCCTTA